GGGGAAAAGAAAAAAAAAAAGAGAAAAAAAGGAGAGAGAAAGAGGAGAAAAAAGGAGAGTGAGAGAAAAAAAGGGAAGATGGTAGTTCTTTAAGGATATGCTTGCTTAATTCCTTAAAACACATGCTCTGTATTTACTGCCATAAACAAGTAAAAATGCTCTCAAGTCAAAAATCTTTTCCTAGTGGCTGCCCTGGCTCCTCTCCTGACAGTTGAGTCTGGTGATGTTAGACTGGTAGCTGGCTGTCATCAGATGCAAACATGAATCCGAATTGTCAGTCATCAGACAGCTTCTTATAGCTAGGATCAAGTATGGTTTTCAATTTTGAAAACACTTGTTCACAGCAATAAGTAGATCCAAAGACAGACAGCAAGGCAAAAGCTACTTTTTTCATGCAGGCATACTTTTCAGGAAGGGATGCTGAATCCTGAGTTGCCGGTCCCTTTCAGTCTTGAGATCACCTTGCAGCAATTTGAACTTTGATATCCAGATGCACAACGTTTGAAAGTCAGTCAGTTCCAATTCAAATCTTCAACGTTCACCCACTGAAAGTACTGCAGTTCTGTGCCACTTTCTGTAGTACTGTCAGGGGTCAAAAGAAATGAAAACATGTTGCAAAAATCTTGGAATCATCTTGTGAACTCATCTTCCAGCTGTCCTATGTAGTTGCAGATATCTCTAGTGTTAAATTGATGCTGCTTGGAATGGATTTTCAGACTAGGGAAGTAACAGAAGGCAGATGTTTTGATATCTCATCTGAAAACAGACAACTTATCACAGAAACCTTTCCAGTCTTCATACAGTTGAAGGATGGCTTTCTGTGTTCCTTCTAACCTGGTATTCAAATAGTTTAAATGTGATGTGATGTGACATGATGTCTGTCAGAAACATCAGTTTTGTTAGCCATCTGTCATCAGTAAGGTCTGCATATTGCTGACCACTTTCCTCAAGAAACAGCTTGATGGATTCGTGACAAACAACAAATCACTTGAGCACATTACCTTGACTCAACCAGTGGATGTTACCATGCAGCACTAAATTTCCATACGCAGCATCCATATCATTTAAAAGTTCACAGAATCTCCTGCGTGTCAAAGAGGAGCAGGCAACCAAAATTTGACAATTTCTAGAGGTGCACCGATAAAGATTTTGGGGGCTGATACCTATAGCCAATTTTTAAGGAGGCATGTCAGCCGATACTGATCTGATTTCCGATACAACTGTGTCCAGATGGTAAGTCTGTTGTGGTGGACAGGGAGGGGGTGGGCGGAAAGGACATGGGGGGGGCAGATCAATGCCCCACATGGTGAGGGAGGAAGTGGGGCTGGGGTAGGCACTGCCCAGCCAGGGTAGGGTGGGCACAGGATGGAGCTGCTCCTGCTGCTGTGTGCACCCTGGGAGGGCATGGGGTATTGGTGGGGCAGGCTGCAGCTGCGGGCTGAGGCCTGCACCAAGCTCTTCCCGACAGGTGGGGGGTTGGGTCACACTGTGCTTCAGGCAGGCTGCAGCACTGGCAGGGGGGCTCCAGCCACCCCAAATTTCACTGTAGCCCCCATACCCCTCCCTCCCAGCGCCGCCACTGCTTGTCCACCCCAAGTGCAGCATGGCCCAGCCCCACCAGCCCCAGCCTGCAACTGCAGCCTGCTTTGCCCCACCCATACCCTCCACCACAATAGACTTACCAGCTGCACACAGCTCTCCAAGCTGTCGGGCTGTGCTCCTCACTGCCTGAGTGCTGTGCTGCAGCTGCGCATACGCATGGACATTTGTCAATCAATTTATCAACCACATTAAGCCAATTTCAGATATAGTAAATTTTCCTTACATCGGTGCCAATCTGATATAGGACCAATGTATTGGTGCACCTCTACAATTTTTACAACCATTGACATGACTTCTAACCTGTGGAAAGAGCATTTCTAGTTACAAAACTAGAAAAGCTGGCTGTCTGGTTTTGAAATGAATCAACAGCTTTTCTAATGGATTCATGTTTGTCTGCTTCATTGACTTCAGAGAATTTGGTTTTGTGCTTGGTTGTGAAATGGCTCTGGACACTGGAAGTATGAGATACCACACTTTCTCTGCACAGACGACAAGCAACACAATCCCCTTGCTGAAATGATTTAACAGAGGAAAATAAACTGATTAATATGAACCGGTTTGAGAGAGCAAAAATTGAGTATGAATCCATTTAACAGAGCAAAATAAACTGAATAATATGCAACGTTAAACTCTCAGTTTGCAAAGCACAGAAATCAGCACCAGTACCAACGCCAACAGGCTACTGAGCTATCTACAGCCCACAGCCCCACACTTCCCTCATATATGCAGAGAGGAAGGGACACAGATGGGGGGCTGATGCCTGCATCCCCCTGGCACCACCACCCCCCATACACTGTTCCCTTCCTATCCCAGTGTCCTCCTGCAGGCAGCATCACACCCTTCCCCACTTCTACAGACCCAGCAGACACTAGGTCTTTGTTTTGCTGATCCCACCCCATGTGTACGGTGGTGCTGAGGTTCACAAAGCTTCACAAACTCAGCCACAGGCACCTAGGGCTGGGTCAGCAGAATGCAAGCTGAGTCCCTGCCTGTGCTGTCCTCACTGCCCACCCTGGTGCCTGCCGCAGTGCCAGACAGCTTGGAGCAGCAACTTAAAAACTTTTTTTTTTTAAAAACCTTTTCTTCAGCACATCTTCTGGTGTGCTGAGGAAAATGTCTCCACGTGCCACTAATTAGCAAGCATGTTGGTGGTTTCCTATCCCGGATCTAGATAAAATGTCACAAGAAGGAAGGCTGTAGGCAGTGCAGAAATACATAAGCAAAGGTGGCCCTAGATCCTTCCCTCCTCCTCCTCCTGTGCAGATGGCAGCACCCTCTAAGGGAAGAACTGCATCTTGGATTTGAGAGTTGTATCATGCCTACCATAATCCGTCCAGGATTAAGGGCAACAAAAAGTCCTTTTTCAAGTACATTGGGAGCAAGAAGAGGGCACTAGGCAATGTAGGGCCCCTGGCAAGACACAAACGGTAATCTTGTGGCTACGCCAGACAAGAAGGCTGATATTTTTAACAGTTTCTTTGCCTCTGTTTTCTTGAACAGGAACCAGGATATCACACCTACCAGAGGCAGGGACAATCTTACGGATAGCTCTGTCAGGCCTTCAGTCAGTGCAGATGTAGTTATGGATCTTCTGGAAGGGCTAGACATTTTTAAATCTGCAGGTCCAGATGCCCTCCACACAGGGGTGTTGAGGGAGCTGGCAGGGGTCATCGCGGAGCCCTTAGCCCAGCTGTACGAGCAATCGTGGTCATCTGGACAGGTGCCAGGGGATTGGAAACTGGCAAATGGGGTCCCAATTTTCAAGAGGGGGAGGAAGAAGGACCCAAGTAACTAGAGGCCTGTAAGCCTCACCTCAGTGCTTGGGAAGATCTTGGAGAGAATCATCAAGGAGCACATCTGTGGGGGGCCTGCAGGGGAGATCATGCTCAGGGGCAATCAGCATGGGTTCATCAAAGGCAGGTCCTGCCTGACCAACCTGATTGCCTTTTATGACCAAGTAACTAAATCCTTGGATGATGGTGTCGCCATGGAGGTAGTCTTTCTCGACTTTAAGAAGGCCTTTGACACTGCCTCTCACCCCATCATCAATAACTTAAGCAACTGTGGCACTGACGCCTGCACAGTTGGATGAGTAAAAAAATGGCTGATGGGACACACCCAGAGTAGTGGTGGATGGGTTGTACTCAACCTGGCAAGATGTGAGCAGTGAGGTACCCCAGGGCTCGGTCCTCGGGCCCGCACTGTTTAACATCTTCATAAGTGACTCGGACGAAGGGATGGAAAGCACGCTGTCCAAGTCTGCTGATGACACCAAGATGTGGGGCAAGGTGGACACACCTGAAGGGAGAGAGAGGCTGCAACTAGATTTCCACAGACTACAAAAGTGGGCAGACGAGAATAGGATGGGGTTCAATGTAGACAAATGCAGGGTGCTGCACCTTGGGAGAAGGAATCCACAGCATACATACAGGCTGGGAGTTCCCCTCTTGAAAGTACAGAGGCGGAACGGGATCTTGGAGTCTTTATTGACTCCTAGACGAACATGAGCTTCCAATGCCATACCGCAGCCAGCAAGACGAGCCGTACCTTGTCACGCATCCAAAGGTGCATCTCAAGCTAGTCCATAGTGGTGATACTCCCCCTCTTTGCGACTTTGGTCAGGGTGCAGTTGGAGTACTGTATCTAGTACTGGGCGCCGCACTTCAAAAGGGATGTGGCCAGCCTGGAGAGGGTTCAGAGGAGGGCCACCTGCTTGGTGAGAGGGCAGCAGGACAGGCCCTACAAGGAGAGACTGAGGGACCTGAACCTGTTCAGCCTCAGCAAGAGGAGGCTGAGGGAGACCTGGTGACTGCCTACAAACTCATCAGGGGAGATCAACAGCAAATAGGTAGAGTCCTTTTCTCCCCAGCACCACCTGGGGTGACAAGGAACAACGGTAATACGCTGATGGAGAATAGGCTTAAGTTAGAGATCAGAAGACAATATTTTACAGTTAGGGTGGCCAAAATCTGGAACCAACTTCTCAGGAAAGTGGTCCTTGCCCCAACCTTGGGCAAATTCAAGAGGAGGTTGGATGATCACCTGTCTGGGGTCTTGTGAACTCAGAATTCATTCCTGCCTGTGGCAGGGGGTCAGGCTAAATGATCTCTTCAGGTCCCTCCTGACCTGAGCTACTATGAAACCATGAAACTATATAAAGGACTTGTCTTGATCCAATACTTTAGATTGTCTTACATAAAATCTTCATATTATATAGTTATTAGAAATCATCTTGAGGGAGTAATGAACAATATTTGAAAACATCTTAAAAAGCAGTTCATTCATCAGTCTAAAAGAAAATATTTCATAAGAGCGGTTTTTTTTCAGTTTTTCCCAAAATTTCCAATTTTTCCGTTGGAAAAAAGCCCTTGGAAAAAACAGAAAAAGAAAAATTTCTTCCCAAATGTTTCTGTTTTATTTTTCCAGGACTTCACATCTCTGGAACACTACTAGCCAGACCATGTTCTAAACTGTACAAAGGTTGACAACCTGTGGTCCACAAACCAGATTCAGCCTGCAAGATTTTATCTGGCCTGACAAAAACCAGCTGCCTGCTCATTGCTCGCCTCCTTTTCCTCTCCCTTGGATCCCACACAGATCTCTGCAGACCCTCTGATCCCACATTCCCCAAGGAGGAATGAGCCAAGCACACAGAAAACTCACACCAGCTGCTTCTGCAACATGTAGGCAAGGGGCAGGCATCTCCTAGAAGCCCTGGCAGGCAGCCTGCCCGCATACAGCTTGGGCGGTAGCATGCCATGCAGCACATGCAATGTCCTGGGCAAGTTGAGGGACCTGCCCTGACTCCAGTGGGCAATGACTGGTCAAATTAAGGAGCCTCTCCGGTGGACAGCTATGACTTCCTGGCTGCATTCGTGTTGCTGTCAGTGAAAGGTTGCCAATTCCTGGTAGAGCTCACTTGAACCCTAAGAAGTCTCGGTTCTGGCCAATTAAAGTGGCGTTGACAAAGGAGGAGTCTTAAGTCTTTCTTGTAATAGGGCTGGAGTTTTGTTGCAGCCATGACAGATCAGGAAAGGTGTGAAAAGTAACACGGGTTTTATGTTGACATCTTTTATTGGACTAACCGTATAGCTAGAAATGTCAGAGGCTTTCCTACACAGAGATTTCTGGATCACCTGAAGGGCGCTGCATGCCTAAAAGCTCATCTAACACCTGCCAGCTATACACTGGGTGCAATAAGAAATAGCACCGGGCCGGAACCGCGGGGGGGAGGGGCGAATCCTCCCGCGTCCTCTCCCTTCCCAGCCCAGAAACGCCGCCCGCAAGGAGACGCTATGGGGCCTTACGCATGCGCAACCAAGGTTGACCCACACACCACCGCTCTCACCTTCACGGCGCGCGGCCTGCGGCCCTCGCGGTACTTGGCGCGCGAGGCGCAGACGTCCCGCTGAGCGTGATGCCCGCACGCGCCCCCGGCCTCGCCACCCGTCGCCGCCGCCATCTTCCGCCTCTACCCTCCGCGCCTGCGCCCGGCGGTTCCCAGACAGCAGCCAATCAGGGAAGGGCGGAGCTATTGCTTTCCCTTCATTGGCTCTGGGGGGAAAGCGTCATCAGGCCGGAGGAGACTCGCCGCAACCCTGAACTGGAGTGACAGCCAATGAGAGAGAGGGAGGGAGTGGGAGGCGCGACCCTATTGGCCTGCGATGGGCCGTACCAATGTGTGCGGGCGGGGAGGGGTGCGGCTTGCTAGAGACCTGGTCTTCGTTGTCTGCCAGCGGACTGGGGAGCTGCGCGTGGTGCCGCCCCGAAAGTTCGGCCCGGTCCGGCCCAAGCCGCCTGCCGCGGGGCGGGGCCGCCAGCATGTGGGGCAGCGGCGGCCCCAGCGGCGCAGCAGTGACTGTCGCCGTGTGTGGCAGCCGGGACTGCTTCCTGCACCTGCCCGCGGCGCTGGTCGCCCGCCTCCGCCTGCAGCAGGTACGGGGCGGCTCCATACGCGGCCTGCAAGGTGTCCTCTGCAGGGATTGTGGGATACGTGCGGTCCGCCCCAGCTGCCATGGTGACGGCAGCGTTCCCCCCCCACCTCTCGTGGCGTCACTGCCCGCGGGACGAGGCACGGGCACCATGCGGCCCCGCAGCCTCCGCCCAGCCCCCGGGGGCGGGAGGTCGTGGCCGGGGGACGAGGATTGTTATAGTTGTACGATACTTTCTTACCCTCGTAGGATGTGAGCTGGGTAATAGTCCAAGTGCTGAAAATGTTCGATCAGTTTTGAACTGCAGAACTCGAGAACTCTTGGGTCAGAGATGATACCTAAAACATTATCTTGTGATTTCTTAGTTGATCTAATAAAAGGTATCATCTCTGAACCAAGAGTTCTCGAGTTTTGCATTTCTTTTTGTCTCAGACCAGCATGGCTACCAAATACATCTCTGATCATTTTTGAGGCAGTTAATGGATACAGCATATGCCAAGCCCAAGTTCCTCTCCAAGAGTCTTATCTAGGATTACCATGTTTCCAATTTCAAAAAAGAGGATGCCTGTCTGGGGCAATGATATGCCCGTGCCCTGCTTCTGCCCCTCACTCGCAACCCACAATCCCCCTCCCCCAGATCATGCTGCTGTTCCTCAGTCCCAACCCACAGCTCCCCCCAGCCTGTCCCGGCTGGTGCCCCTCACTCCTGACTCACAGCCCCCTGGCACTGCCTGTTCCCTGCTGTCTCGACCCACAGTCCCTTGTTCTCCCCCACCATATCCCTCACTACCAGCCTGCAGCCCCCTACCCCCCAGCCCTGCTGAGACCCTCTTACATTCAGCCTGCAGCCCCCTGCCCCTCCAGCCCTACCACTTTCCCTCACTCCAGACCCACAGCCCCCTGGCTGGCCCCATAGCTCCCTGCTGCCCCTGCCCCTCTCTCTTCCACTGCTGGAGCAGCAGGCACCTCCCCTGTCCTTTGCAGCCCAGTGCCAGGGACAGCTCCAGTGCTGAACAGAGCAAAATCCCAAATCCCAGACATTGTTGATATTTAGAAAAAACAGCTGGACAGAGATGGGAGGACTCAAAAAGAGAAGAAAACAGATTATGGTAACTCTAGTCTCAACTGACTTTTGGGTTTGCTGTCAGCAATTTCTTATGGTGGCTTGCCTTGAAATAAAGAAAGGCTTCAACTTTGATGACCCAGTTCCCACTCAGAGGAGACTTACAGTGAGCAATATAAAGTCAATACAAAGAAGACTTGTTTGCATACTTGTTTGCATATTTTTTCAATGTACCTTACTTTTTCAACAAATATGTTTATTTTGAGCTTCCAGTACAGTAATTTTGTATCTAAGGGCAATGCTGCCAAGCACTGCTGCTATAGGCAGAGCCTCATACCTAAAGAGAGTCCCATTCAGTGTAGGATGTAGCCCCTTCCCCGCCCTTTCAAATACAAGAAGGTTGCAGGGAAAACACAGCATACACTATCAAGGTCTGGACACAAACCGTTTGTGTCACCCACAGATATTAATAATAGGAAAACATTTCAAGGAAAAGATGCAATTCGATTCCCTCACAAGATTAAAGGGACAAGGAGACTCATTCAAGAGTCAATAAAAAGTGTGTACACTTTTGCTAGAAAGCAGCATCAGTGGCCTTGAAATAAAAATTAACATTTTCCTGTTTTCAGCAAAATTCCCCAAGTGCAGAAGAAAACAGTCATGGGAATGGAACTGGTCCATTTTAATGCAAACGTATTTTCACACTGCTAAGTAAAAGGAGTGGGAGGGGATGGGGGCTGTGTTGAAGAGCTGTGTATTACAGGAACTCTAACTGCTGGCTTTGTCCTTTCTAAACTGAAAGAGCCAGCTGGTATGAGTTCAAAAAACTTTCTGTGAAAATAGCAGGAGGAAATGGTGCGGTTTTTGGTTTTTTGTTTTTTTTCCTAAGCCCCACAATCCCAACCTGAATGCAGTTGACCATTTTGGTCACTTGCTTTCTCAGCCAACCAGCAATTCGTGTGTGGGAAAGCATAACAGAGGAGATGAAAAATGAAATCTTGTTGGATGAAATGCATCATGTTTTTCATCATTTAAAGTGGAATCTATCAGACACAGGATAAGTGAAACAAAAAAAATCTATCTGAACAATTAAGTGTATATAGGAGGTTGATAAAAAAACTAGGCTTCATTTTTCAGTTAAGCCATCTGATATGGGCCAGGATTATTACTTTCAATTAATTTTTTTGTCCCAAGAAACTGTACAAATATTCCTATTTAATGCAGTTAATGGACCAAATAAATTCACTGGGACAACTGATAAGTATACAGTACACACCCACCCACACACGCACACCTGTAAAACAAAGTCTAAACAGACAGATTTTTAGACAAAGAAGTTGAAGAAAGAAATAAAGTTAAAAGGTTGTCAGGAAGAAGGAGTATACAAGATAAACTGTGGAAGGTTTGGGTGGTACAGAACACCCATTAATTTCCTGATATGTTCTAAACATTTTTCTGTGACTAAAGATGGGCTAAGAGCATATGTTTGAGGGAAGATTGAGAGACTGTGTGACATGCAGGTTCATGCTGGACAGTCCAAGGAATAGAAAGCATAGGAATTGGTATGGGGGCATGCTTGTGGGAGAAAATGAGAAACTGAAGTTGAGAGGCAGGATTGACAGAGCCAGAAGGCAGTCATAAATAAGTTGTAACAGTGGCACTTTAGATCAGTTTTTATTGGCTACACATTGTTGTACTCTTCTCTCTTCCTTTTTAGATGGTTGCTGCCTCTTCTATGTTTTACTTGGGCCTTTCCTAGTTTTTAGCATCAGTAGCTTGATAACCCTTTACAAATGTTTCATTTGTTTAGACTGAAGCCTGCCTCTGGACATGCAGTAGTATGTAGCTGCTTAAGTTAGTCTTAAAACTGTGTCTTTGAGTTCCATAATATCTTTAAAGATATCGTGCCTCCAGGGAAAATGAATGGCTGTGGAATGGTTGGCTAGGCTGTAGTATGGCAGAGAAGGGCATGAAGGTTACAGTAAACTGGAAGCTGAATACAAGCCAAAAGTGAGCTCTTGTTGCCAAAAAAACTAAAAGCATACTGGGTTGTGTTAACAGGAGTGTCACTTGCAAACCAAGGGAAGTGATTTTTATGTTGTAATTAGCACTGGTGAGGCCTCACCTGGAATACTGCATCCTGTTCTGAGCTCTGCACTTCAAGAAGGACATGGACAGATTGGAAAGAGTCCAGTAGAGAGCACCAAAAATTATTAGCGGTCTAGGAAGTAAGACTTACAAAGAAAGGCTGACAGAGCCCGAGGTATTTAGTCTGGAGAAGAGAAGACTGAGAGCGGGACTTAATAACAGTCTTCAAATACCAATTTGAAAGTACTTGTGCTATCCTGAAATGCTATTATAGAGAGGATGGAGATGGGCTTTTCTCTGTGGCTGTAGGGGACAGGACTAGGAGCAATGAATTCAGACCTCACCAGATGAAATTTAGGTTGGCAACCAGGAGGAACTTTTTGACTATGAGGGTGGTCAAGCATTGGAACAGGCTACTTAGAAAAACTGTGGAACCTCCATCCTTGGGAAGTGTTCAAAAGTAGATTAGACCAACACTTGGCTGGGCTGCTTTAGTCAGGGAAGATCCCGCCTTGAGCAAGGGTCTGAGGGAAGGGACTTTGCGAGGCCCTTTCTAGCACTACTTTCCTGTGATACCTCCATTCCCATAAATGTAGGTTTCACATTTTTCTTTAAATGATTTCTTCCAATCACATGTGGTTGCTCTTTCTTTGGAATTATGATAGCCTGCAAATTTACTCATGTGAATACCCTTACTGAACCTAATGGAAAATTTGTCACAGACACCAAGTTTATCCTTATTCAAGAACACTTTGATGTACATATTTAAGTCTCATTAATCCCCAATAATAGAGCAAGACTGAAGCACAAGCCTATGTTCTTTTCTTAATTGAGGCCAGGTATTTCATGGACATACTTAATTCATTCTGTCTCATTTTTGGTTGATATATAATATTAAAGCAGCAGCGTTTTGAAAACATCACTAGAAATTAAGATTAAATGAATAGAAATAAAGAAATAAAAACATATTTAAAATTGTAAGAACAAGAATTTTGAGAGAACCTCTTGACTCAAGAATCTTGGTAACTCTTACCAAAAGGAATGTTTTCTGAAGTCTACTACTGAATATGGCTTAAACTCCCTTTGCTGAATCATTGCAAACTTCTCATAGAACTGTTGCAAAGGTTGCAGGCATTAAAAAGTGCTGCCTGGAAAGTCCAGAAATAAACTTTTAAGTTTCTTTTAAGATTTCTTTTAGATCTTTGATTAGACAAATGCAAGACTGATTAGACAATCAGAAATCTGATTAGACAATCTGATTAGACAAACAGGCCTTGTTTGACTGGAATAATTTTATTTAAATTGTTTTAAATTAATTTGGTTTTCTTCTCTGAAATGAACAGGGCCAAGCTGTGAAAGTCTCCTGGGGTCCCCAGCCCGTATTTTTGAGTTGGATGGAAATCAGACATCGAAGTTACCATGATGGAAATATTGCTGAAATTAACAGACAGCTAGCAGAGAAACTTGGTATTACACATGGGGATCAGGTCTGGAATAAAGCTTTTTTCTTTTTTAAACAAATCAAAGATGATCATACAAAATTGCTGAAGTAGTACTGTGTTACATCTTAGACTACAGTCTTTCAACTTGTTCCTTAAAGGCAGACCACTCCCATTGATTTTATTGGCATTCCTTATAGTAAAATCGATACATCATCCGCCTGGGACAAAGTGCTGAAATAGGGACTTGGGTCCAGTTCCTGAAAGTACTTATGCACAGAAGTCAATAGGACTGCTGAAAGCAGTTACTCTGAACTTTTTTTAGATTCAAGATTCCTTTCCATAACTTGTGTGAATTGAGCAACACCCCATTTTCAACAACTATTTAATTTATTACAGGGTTTGCCTCCTTTGAAGGAGGCAGGTAATGAGGAGGGGGCAGGGAGCAGCTAGGCAGGAGGACACCCTTGCCTGCCTTATCTGCTTATCTTTTCACACCTGAAGCCTGAGATAGCTTTTATCTGCTTATCTCCTCATGCTTCTTGCACCAACCCTATCAGATGATCTGGGCACTCCAAGGTGCTCCAACACCCTGGTCAAAAATCACTGGCTTTAAGTGTATGAAGATAAGCAGGTGTATAAGTCTTTAATGTGGGATTAGTGCAATGCAAAGGGGAAAATATTTTTAAAAAACAATGAAAGAAGTTGAGAATTTTCTTCATGTTAATAAGAACTATTTTCCCTGGAGCTCTTGCCATTTGTATTAATTATCCATTTATTCCTTACTTCTCTGTTTGACTTATTTTTGCTCTAAGTCGTTATCCCTTTTCTCTTCCCCTGTTTCTCTGGCTGAAGAATCACTATAAATGGTCTGTGTATTGTTAGCATGTTCCAGCTCTCACCCTAAGTCAGGGCTGTCCAGCTGGCAGCCTGTGGGGCACGTGAAGTCTGTGAGGTGTTAAGTTGTAGCCCTTGGACTCTTATCCAACCTCTGCTGCAACAGCAGCCAGGCTCCTCATCCCTCCTCTGGTTTTCACTGTCTGAATGGCAGAGCAGTGTGGCATGGCCCAGGGAGCTAAGGATGAGTCTGGGGCCAAGCAAGTTATGCCATAGGGGTGGGGAGAGCACCCACGTGGGCTCAGGGTGTAGCATACAGTACAGCAGTGGCAGGCGAGGAGGGCTCTTCCAGGTGTGTGATGCAACACTGGAAGGGGGGCTATGGATGCATGTTGCTACAGGCGGAGGGGAAGGGGAATCATCTATGCAACACATGGCCTGCGGAACCCCTGTCTTGCCCTGCTGTGGCTCGTGGACATGGAGCTCTTGCTGGTGCACCCTATAGGGCATTTGCCTCCAGGCCACTTAGAAGTTAGACATCCCTGTTCAAGTGATGCATTCTGCTAAGAGAAGTTGGAGACAATCCCAGGAGATCGTAGACAGTCGAAGTGTCTGTCCTGCCAATGGTCCAGCATTTTGGTGATGGAAGGTAGAAAATTAAATTAGCCCAGTCAGAGTAGTAGTTGCATTTTGCACCAGCTGTTATATTTTATATATGATAAAACTTTACTTAGAGAAAGAAGGTCCAGCAAGGTACATTTTAGCTTAAGTGTAGTGCTCACTTCAACTTTTTTTTTGGGTGGGGGGGGTGTCTTCAAATTGCTATAGCAATGAAAACAGTTATCCACCTGCAAGACTGTAGGATATTTTAATATGAGATAATTTAATATTTAATAAGATATTATGGATCAGGAACAGAAATACATTTGTGCAGCATCATGTAGCAGCTTGATTGGCTATTTATTGTACTCTCATTTTAAACTTTTTTTCTCACTCTCTCTGAAACTTTTACAATTTAGCCCATAACTTACTCTGAAAATCTGACTTTTTTTTTTTTTTTTTACTTTTCCCTAGATAATTGCATTGGTTCAGCTGAGAACAATCTAAATGATCTTTTAGCTGTGTTCATGCCCACGTTTTTACATCTTATAATAATATATTACTTGTAGATGCTCAAAAAATGGTGGGGGGGAAGTCATCTTCAAAATAAATCTGCAGAATAATGTGGCTATAGTTTGGAATTATCCTTGCAAGCAGCCTTCAAACATGAGGAGAAACTCACCAAAAAATTGCCATGAAATGGGACTATCTGTTTTTTCTTGTTCATTTGACCATTAGCCTTTGGCTTGAGGAATAGCATTTCATGAAAAATATCCCCTTCTAGTAGGCCTGTGCGAGTAGGCAGCTATTCAGTCCGGTCACTTCGGATGCCAGGGATCCAATCCGGAGTTCTGGACTGTGTTCCTGGTTCGATCCGGCCAAAGCAGCTCCGAAGTTTCGGAGCCGCCTCGGAGATCCGGCCGTAAGGTATAATGGGGAATCACTGAAATACCTATAACTTTGATGTTTTTTGTCTGATTTGGATGAAATTTGCAGGGATGGTGGCCTCTGCTGAGAGCCTGAAGCCTGCCAAGTTTCAAGAAGATTGGTGCAGGGATTCAGGGGGAACTGCACCCCAAATTCTTGAAAGCAAAACTCATGTCACGCGTATGTGTTACACCATAGGTGCAGGGGTTCTGGGGCCCTGCACCTCTAGCTGCTGACAGACAAAACTAGTGACATGGGTGCTTGTGCAACTGACTGTCTGTCTTGGGGCAGCTGATTGTCTGTATTGATTCTTTCTTCTCCTTTGTCTGTGATTTTGTAGGTGTTAATTGTTGCTAATTATCTGGTTACTTTAGCTAGCAACTGTATTGAGCTGGTCCCTGAGTGAATCATGATTGACAGGTAACTTGTAACACAGTAGCTTAACAGCTAGGCCTGAAGTAGTTCCCCCCCATCCCGCTCCCGGGCCCCAAGACAGACACAGTTGCACAAGCACCCATGTCACAAGTTTTGTCTGTCAGCAGCCAGAGGTGCAGGGCCCCAGAAACCCCCTGCACCCATCTCCTTGACAGCTGGCAGGCTTTGTGGCCGCAGCAGGGGCTACCATTCCTGCAGCTTTCACCCTGCTGCGCCTTAACACACACGGTGGCACCCATGTCACGAGTTTTACTTGCCCGTGTCAGGTCGCTACTGGGGAGAAGTGCATGCCTTTACACCCCGCAGGTGTTCGCCGGTCTCTTCTCCGTGCATAGTACCCTCAGTCAGCTCGGAGTGGCTCTCACTCCTGTATTCCTGCCTGCCATGACTTTTTCTTGATGGTTCTTGAAGATGTAAAGGAAGGGGGAAGAGAGGGAGGGGCTGATGCCACCGCTTCAAGCACCGCCAGTTGCTGGTTCGCGCTCAGATCTCTGTGCCGGCAAAGAAAAAAAAAAATGGCAAATTAACTGAGAAACTGAAAAGAAAATTTATTGGACCTGGAGGGTCCCTTTCTGGGTTTGTCAGGGCCCAGACAACTCCTTTTACTCAGTCTGTCTTCTCACGGATGGCTGAGCCTTCCCTGTGGGGACGGATCAGGTCTCCTCTTTACTTATATTGCCACCACGTCAGGCTTGATTGTTTCCAAGAGGCAGTTAATCAGGGCAAGGCATACCTTGGGAGGGAGCATCCACTTATTCTTCCCTCTTCTTAGTAGATTTCAGCTGCGTCCAGAGCTGATGATCTGGTGGAGGAGAGCCACTTGAGATCCCCCAAGGGAGAGGAAAAAAAGGGGGATCGGAGGGAACCAGGCTGGGACAGAGCAAACCCTGCATCTCTTGCCAGTGTATCCAGCTTGATTAGAGAGCAGCAGTGATCAATTAACAGAAAAAAATGTTGAGCTGAGGGAGAGAGTGCCCGTATTCTTCTTTTACTCTCTCCTTCCCTTGGATGAGGGCTCCTCTGAGCCCACGAGCCTCCGAGTCTCTTCTGCACTCCCAGGAGTTTCAGTCTAGGGCGAGACGTGGCCATCCTTCACTCTGCCCGCCGGTTTCCATTTTTTTATTTTCCCTCTCCGGTCCAGCTGTGTTGTACCGCCACACCTGATCTACAACACCAGTGTGGAGTGCTCTCACAAGAGGGGAGAAAACCGCCCAAGGGCTCACATGGAGCTTTGAAGGCCTCTTTTTATGGGGCCTTGCAATTGGCAAGGCTCGAATAGCCTTAGCCAAATTATCGGAGCAGGTCAAACTGTTGGCGAATCATACCG